TTCAGTACATAAATATTGTGCAAGTTTGTCACGTAACACTTTTGCGTCACAACTATATGTGTTAGATTTTTGCCAACCACATTTATGTAAGTGTTTTTGCTCATCACGCCATTGTCCCAGATTGACTGAATGATCCGAATCTTCTGTGTCGACAAAACCTGTTGGACAGTATGTTGTGCTGCTTTCGGTTAAAAAAAAATTATGTAACACGAGGGAAGCAGCAACAATCAAAGTGATTAAAAAAAATTATTATAAATATCGTAAATAACAGTTTACAAATGCATATATACAGATATTTTTTGAAGGGGGACAATGGTCTTTACAATTTGAAATCGATCGAACACACTGTGCGCGAATGCTCGTGTAAACGCGCACCATCTATCGTAGGATAAATGCCAGAAACCTTCGCGGGAGTGTATTAAAAAACTTCCCAAAGTTTCGTGGCAATCGTACTATGCCACAAACCTTCGCTGGAGTATATTAAACAACTTCCCAAAGTTTCACGGCAATCGGATAAACGGTGTGGTAATGCATGAAGGACACACGCACACACACACACAGACAGACACACATACATTCATTTTTATATATATAGATTAAAAAAAAAATTTTTAACATGAGCAACTTTTCCTCTATAAATCTGTTTCGTAATTGTTTCGTAACAACAAATGTATTGAAATTTTTTATCCTGGAAAAGATTTAATATTCTTTTCTATTAAAAAGATGTATACAATTGTAGAAGACATATGACATCACAGTTGAACATTCTCGTAACGAACACAGCACTAATGTCATGTGATGCACCCAATTGGGTTAACCTGCTGGAATGAGGAAGAGGGAACGTATAGTACCCGATTTGTACGACACATAGTACACTTTGGCAGAGGGTGTTTCATTTATTTACTTATTAATTGATAATATATAAAAATATAATCTATACTAATATTATAAAGAGGTAACATTTGTATGTATGTATGTATGTAAGTTTCTTTGCAGCAGGTAATCTCCGAAACTACTTATCCGATTTCAAAAATTCTTTCAGCAATATTTAGAATGAAACCTCAGGGTAGACATAGGCTGTATATTATTCCGTTAAACATTCATATAAATTAAAAGATATAATCTAGGTTAAGGCTTTTACGTCCAACAGATGACGCTACGAGTACGAGTTTGCTTTTCTGTGAGGCATTATGCTTTTCTGTAAAAATGAACTAAAATGGATCATCTTCTATCTATCTATATAAATAAAAATGTAATGTTCGTTTGTTCCTACCGATTCCTTTGAAATTTTGACACGACGCTGCATTCGAATACGCAAGTGTTTTTGTATAATATACGTGTCGAAATTTCTCCCACTGAAGGGAAATGGTTAGGATTAAGGCTTACCGTAAAGAACTCTGCTTCTATTTATACTATTTTAGATGCGGTTTTTTGCGTTTTTGATTGCGTTTTAATAAAGTACGTCAAGAGAATGTACACTAAGAAGAAATTTTTCGAAAAAAGTAAAATAAGCAATCTTCCCATTTGTCCAGTCTTGCCAAATATTGTAGCGCCACATCACTAGCGGACATTTGAAATTTGCCGACTAGGACGGTCGGTTAACCGAGGGGTCGGTTAATCGGGGGCGGATAATCGAGGTTCTACTGTATTTATATTTTATTATTCTTTGAACTCGGTTTGTTTATAGAAAATCATGTGACATATTTTTTGATATGAAGGATGCTGTAAACATAGCCTATACCTAAATTTTTCGCAATCTATAGGAAGGAAGTCTGTTTTCAACATTAATTATCTCTTATCGACCAAGTTCTTGGTTATATAAAATAAGTTGTATAAATATACTGTATATAAATTGAAAAATATTCATCAGGTGAATGTATTTTTTTATCTAAAGTACAAACACATGAGTATTTTCTGTAGGAACATGAAGAAATTCTTCTTCATTCTTTGCTTGTGTTTCTCAATTTTCGTAGAGTAAGTAGTTATTTTTTAAACTACTTTTATGTAGATATAAGCATTACATAGATTATATCTTTGTGTATTCTTCTAGTATTAGTGCACTCGACTGTAAGGAATGTCAAAGGAACCAATGTGATGACAAAACAGGAAGAATGTCTTGCGGGTCTTGTCACAGATTTATGTGACTGTTGTCTTGTTTGTGGAAAGGTAACCTGAACTAATTAAGTTACATTAAAATTAAAACTAGTGATGCCATAATATGTCTTCTATGTTTTGTAGAGAGTAGGGTTTCTCATTTCCCGGTCTTTTGCTTGTCCCGGGATCCCGGGATAAAAGTGAACTATTTCCCGGGATCCCGGGAAATCCCGGAATAGAATTAATTATTTTTAAGGTATACAAAATATCTTGAAATCAAATGATATAATTATTTTTCATTTTTTAAAGTAATTTTAAAGTTCTGTAACATCCAAAATCATATTAATAATGCTGTGTA